AATCTACACCACTGGGAAACATTTCAAAGAAGCAAATAACTTCCTGTGGCCCTTCTAATTATCTTCTACTCAGTGGTGCCATGAAGAAAAAGACCACCCATTTTGTAGGAGGTGGAGATGCTTGCTGGCAAAAGGGAAGACCAGATCAACAGGCTAATTAGAAGAATGAACTAAGGTATCTACCATGCTTAGTTTTGTAATCTGGTCAACTAATAAAACAGTAAATGTTTTCAAATTGAAATTGTTGCATTGGCAACTTTTGTTAACCTGTCCTTTCCTCCTTTTAATTATTATGATAAATCTTGGTGTGTAATAAAATTTAGCCAAATCAACAGTCCATTGCTTGTAAACCTAGGGTCAAATTTGAATCTTGTGGAAAAGCTTATTACAAGGATTCCTCTATAGAAGTTTGTTTTTGTTTTTGTTTTTTTAAGTTTTGGATCTTGAATATGAGTAATAAAAGTTGGTGCTCACAAGTGTGGGGAAAAAAAAGAAATTATGAAGTAAAAGAGCTGAATGGAACATTTTAAACAACATGTGTAATTATAATGAAATGTGTAAAGACCTAGAGTCAGAAAGCCAAAAGGGAAGAACACAGTCAGTGTTTCTCAAGCTGAAAAAAAATAAAGAAAAAATTCAAGCCCCAGGTTGCAATATTGAAGGATACTACAGGCAAAATATTGAATGATGTAGGAAGCATCAAAAGAAGATGGAAGGAATATCCAGAATCATCGTATCAAAAAGAATATTCAACCATTTTAAGCAGTACTATATGATGAAGAATTGATGGTATTGAAGGAAGAAGTCCAAGCTGCACTGAAGATATTGGTAAAAATATTTAAGGAATTGACAGAATATAAACTGAAATGTTTCGATAAAACTAGCGTATGCCAAGAAATTTGGAAATCAGCTACCTTGCAAATCATTTGGAAGAGGTCCATATTTGTGCCTATTCCAAAGAAAGGTGACCCAATGTTATGTGGAAATCATAGAGCAATATCAAGTAAAATTTTGCTGACGATCATTCAAAAGCAGGATATTAACAAGGAGATGCTAGAAATTGAAGCCAGAATCAGAAGATGTGGAAGAAAGGGTATGATTGCTGATGTCAGATGGATCTTGGAGGAAAGCAGAGACTACCAGAAAGATGTTTACTTGTGCTTTTTGGCTATACACAGGCATTCAACTGTGTGGATTATAGCACAGCCTTCGATACGGATTACATATCAACGTCAAGAAAACAAAAATCCTCACCACTGGACCAA